TAAGGTTTCATAAATAACACATGTCTGTAACATCAATAATGTGACATGCTGAAGAAAGCAACTCACAGCTCAATCACAAAATCCATATGGCCTGAAAGATATCAAAACTAGCATAGCAAACAAGGAAAAGGAAACACATGATTTTTTTTTTTTTTTTTTACCATATTTGGCGAGAATATGTGCTAGTGACTCTCAGGTGTGTCTGGAACTCCTTCGAAGTAAAATCATGAGTTAGGATTCGAAAATCAAAACCAAAAGAAATAAATAAATTATATAATGAACAAATACCATTTTCCCGGACTTCCAAAGATTAACAACAATAAAAGAAACACAGAGTGGAGAAATCAGAGTTTTATTTGCTATTTGAACCATAGAGAGGACAGTCTTTTCATCTTGTGGATGAGAGCCATAGTTATATTCATTATCTGTGTAGTCTCTCTTTGTTTCTCTCTTTGTCTCTTTCTAAAAGTTGATGGAGTATAGAATAAGTATTGTGCGAAGCATTTGGCAGAGCTCTAGTCTCTCTCTATAAATTAGGGTTCACGCGGTAATCTGCTATGGCCTATGACAGCTCTCTGTTCTAGGCTACTCTGTATGTATCCTTTGCAAAGCTCTAGTCTCTCTCTATAGTATCTCTTTTTTTCTCTTTCTAAAATTAGGGTTCACGCGGTAATCTGCTATGGCCTGCGGCCTATGCCTATGGCCTATGGCAGCTCTCTGCTCTAGGCTACTCTGTACGTATCCTCTCGGCCTATGACAGCTCTCTGCTCTAGGCTACTCTGTACGTATCCTCTCTACTCTAGGCTACTGATTTGTAATGATAATTTGAAATGTAATTCGTTATATATATACCATGTATATCTAATTATTATTGTTATTATTATTATTATAATTATTATTATATAAGATTGTATTATTATATATATTTCTTAATGATTAATTCATCACGTGCGATGCACGTGCATCGCACGCGAATTTTACGAAACATTCTAAACATGCTAATTCATATAAAACACAATAAACATCAAGTCACAAATTTAAAAGTTAAAAAAGGTTAATGTGAAGTTATTTATGGCACAGTTAACGCCTCTTCTGTGACTCTGTATCTGAATAAGTTCCGACGAATACATAATATATATATATAGGTTAACTTTCTATTTAGGTTACTTAATGCTAAACATTTTCTTAATTTCACCTGATCTCTTTATTTCATTAGCAAAAAATTTCAGAAGTCCATTGAATCACATAAGTACACGTGATGTATTTGCACAAAATTATTGTTTTGTCATAATCAGAACTAATCATGAAAATGTTCTCATTTGATTGTGATAATTTGTTTTAAGTTGTTATAAAATTTACTTATAAAATATTTTTCATCTCATTTTTGTTGTCCATGCTTTTATGTCCAATTTAAAAAGATAAAGTAAAACTAAAATTTCAAAATTACCCTTTAAATTTTAAAAATCTTCTTATCATAATAACATAGGACAATTTAATAATCTTGTAAGGGACAAGCATTAATTGTTTGTCCCCTGCAAGTTACTAAAGAACAAGTCCTTACAAAACAAGTAATATGGATAAGAAGTAGTATAAATTATTATATTTTTAAGTAGGAGTGTAAATGAATGAATAACAAAAAGTAAAGGAAATAAAGCAACAATATGTTGTGTTAATCAAAGCACAAAAATTTGTTAAAACCAGTAAATTGAACTTGAGTGAATGAAATGATTTAGTTGGTCCATGAAACAGTTTGGTTTTAGTTCCATATATATATATATATATATATATATATATATATAATATTGTCAGAAATAATACCTTATACGAAATTTATCCATAATAAACATTATAATAGTTGATTATAATTGTTATGTTTGATATGAATAATTTTTTTTAGGGAAATGATAGATCTTCCGACCTTAATTGCCGACTCTTCTTCCGAATACAACGTGGTTGGATCCTGTTGAAATTCTTAAAAAAATTTCCGTAAACATCTCTTTCTCTTCAACTCATTCCCAACCATGTTATATTCGAAGAAGTAGTTGGCAATTGATGTCGGAAGATCTGTCACTTCTCTTTTTTTTATTAACCTATATGGAGATCATTTTCTAAATATATTGTAAAAGGGAAGATACAAATCAAAAAATAAAATAAAATAAAAAAAGAATAAAAGAAGGGCGGGTATGTGTATACATTCTGTGGTGTGACCGTGTGGGAGTGTGTACGTGTGTGTCTAGTGTATGCATTGAAGGATGGAACTATGGATGCATGTGCGAGTAACAGTGTAAATGGATGAAGGGTTAAAATCTTAAAAATAAAAATAAAAATGAAAAACCCTCAATTTAAAATCGTGCATAAAATTCTAAGTAGAATTAAAAAAATTTATAAACTAACAAAATTTATTAAGTTACTCCCAAATTCGTAATTGGCTCATTTATGTTGTGAAATGTCAAATTTGACCTTATAATTTAATATTAAATTAAAAGTTATAATTATTATTTTAAAATTATAAAAAAAATTGGGGGTAGAAAATGTGTCGTTAATTGTTAGTACGATAAGATCTCATCTAACATTAGATAATATTATTATAAAGAGATATTTTTTAAATTTAATATAATAATTATAGCTTATAATTTAATATTAAATAGTAATGTCAAATTTGACATTTTACAACACATTGAACGGTCGAACATGGGTTCGGGGTAACTTAATAACTTTTGTTAGATCAAGATATTTTTTAATTTTACAGTGATTTTATGCACGATTTTAAAAGTAGAGTAAGGTTTTATGATTTTTAACCCATAAATGAATAATAAAAAGGAAATAAAAATAATGGTAAAGTAAAAACAATTCTTATATTTTTTAAATTGAGTAAAATAAGAATATTTTCTCAATTTGAAGAGTGAATTATCAAAAATGTCTTTGAAATTTTTTTAAAAAAAAATGAGAGAGGAAAAAGAGATTATTAAAGATATTTTGGAATTTTATTTAAAAAATTGATCATAATTAGCTGTCACTTTATACATTTTCCAATGTCAAGAGTTTACATGCACATTCTTAAGCTGCAAGGGTGTTTATTTTGCACATTTATATAAATAAGGTGGAGCATGAGTGTGTGTGTGGGGGGGGGGGGGGGGGGGGGGGGGGGGGTGGAGTGTGTAAAAAGAAGAAAACAATTGACTAGAGCTTTGTGGAACTGAAATATAATATTTAATGAATAACAAAAATGATTGTGGATATTAATGAAGGATTTATATATATATATATAATAGAGAGAGAGAGAGAGAGGTTGAGGATGATGAATGATGTCATCCATCACTTTTTAAATTGTTGGAGAAACTTTATTAGTGCCAAAGGATTTACTAAACTTTATTAAGTTCGTTCCACTTCTCTTTTAAGTATAAATGATTTCTTTGAGAAGTTGCTTAAGTACCAGTTAGAAAGAAAAAAAACTTTATTAGTAAATATTTGTAAATTAATTATAATAGGACCAAAATCCTTTTGATTTTACTTTTCGAGGGAAAAAAAATCCCTTCGATTTTTGAATATTTCTATAATGAGAATGCTTTCATGGTAATCATTGGCACCCTCAGAGCAAGACGTTGTCAAAATGTGTGTATGAAATGCGTGTAGGTAAATATGCATTATAGTATCACTATTTAAATATTATAATAATATTATATATAATTAATGTTATAAAATAATATATATATATATATATATATATATATATGTATATATAATATTATGAAAACAATATTATATATTATATAAAATTATAAATTAATATAATAAACTACTACTATATAATAAAGGAATCTATTAATAGGCTGAGGTTGATAATAGGCTGAGGTTAGAATTTAATTCTATATTCTTAAGACAGATTCGCTCCACTAAGGTGTTAACGGACTCTGTAACGTTTGTCTCTTAGAATACAACGATCTTTCTTTTTTCGATAGTAACACTGCAAACCAGAGAAATGGACGAACCGGTTCGGTGTAATACTCTCTCTTACTAAACTCAAGCAACTACAGAACTATATTATATGTAAGAACTCATAATAATAGAGGATTTCAAAGTTTCTAGTACGAATTGCAAATGACCCCAATGGGGTATTTATAGGCAGCATGATGTCTTTTCGGGTGACCTAAACCATCACCTGCACTAGATGCGATGGTTCAGTTCAAAGAGAAACACTGGTTCGGACCAGGTGAAATCCTTTGAAAGCACTGGTTTGGACTAGACGCACCAATTCGTGAAACTCGTCAGAATAAGTCCAGCACAAAAATTAAATTAAGCCCAAACACCAAGGCCAGTTCAAAAATTCAATTTAATAAAAAAGCAACCACATGTGTGATAAATGATTTGGACCCGCGTAGTAAAAACTTCCATACCCTTTAACCCAAACTCAAATTCCAAACTTGGGTTATATATACTCTTGTTAGTTTCACTTTTTATTCAATGTGGGACAATCACTTTTCACATTTTGCATACTCATTTAAGCTTATCAAACACATTATTTTGAAGCTAATTTCTTATTCATCGGGAAACTAATTTGAGAAAGTAAATATATCATGTTCATCTCCTTGCGAAGAAGAACGCCTTTGTCTATAAATCCGCAAAAATTTCTTAACGAACCTACTTAAAATTTCATTTAAAATTTATGTTTTGTATACTCCGTTTCGAACGAAACATATAACCTCACAACTCACAAGGTATAGACATCGGCCAAGTCACAAGGTATAGGAATTCAGGAGTAAGATTTCCTCTTTTAAATCAACCAAGTGAACTCAGTTTGATGCTTTTGATAACTAGAAATGTATAGAAAAAAAATTTTAGACCATTTGTACAAGATCTAAGTTATAGCTACGCCGAAGTTCTATTATACAAGATCTAAGTTATAACTGCAAGTCAGAAATAAAATAATAATAATAATAATAATAAAATAAAATAAATAAATAAACAGCCTGATTGAGGTGCTACTGAGGGATCAAACATGCTTAGCACCAACCATTCATTATTATTTTTTTGTAAGAAGCATCAAAATCAACTATGGAAACAAAAGGTTATGTTACAGATTAAATCTACATGGTTTGCAAAAACATGAAGATGTTACTAAGAGCAAATAAGAGTACTAATACAGAAGTAAAAATTATATGAACAAAGGCAAAATGTATTTAACATGATCTAAACATACAAAATAGCACAGGACAATTACAAAGCATAAACAGTTCCACTGCGGACTATATATATTTGGCGCCAGTTTAGCATAACCGGTTCCACTGCGGACAAACCAAGAACAGGTGTGATTTTTACAAAGGTTGCAACCTCGAAGGCACTCCAGATCCATCACTTGAGAGTGATCCACAAGAAGGTTCACCTGAAATCCAAGCCAATAATAAAAAATTGTTACAAACATCAGAGAGGAAAATAACCAAACGCCCCGATGCAAGAAAAGGCTGAATGAAAAGAGTAAAATACCCTGGGACCATATTGTCTAATAAACCAAACAGAGGGTTTGGAATTTGATGCTTCAAACATTGTCTTCTCAAGACCAAGACACCCGACAATCTTTGCAATAATGTTTACCGTACAGAATAATCATCCTTGCAGGCATCATCGGCATCAATCATTATCATGTAGGCTAGCAAGCATCTCTCAGCCCTTCTGATCAAAAGATCTACATCCTCTACTATTTCTGAGGGCAAAAAGTAACAGCCCATCAGGTACATGGACTTGACTCTCTTCTCATTTCTCTCTTGACAATCTATAGTCATCGAGTCATCTTCCTTATCCAGTATTCAGAGCGTACATCCTCCCAAAAGTCTCAAATCTTTCCAACAACTATTGGTACTTGATAAGGGGATGCGGCGTATTGTCACGGGCTTAGAGTTTCAGCACCACTCTAGCTGCTCCCGTGCGGCACCAAGATGTTGCTTCCACTCTCGCAAGTACTTGGTCAGCCTAATTCCCGTGCACACCTTAGCCAACACACTCCCCTCGTGCGCTTACTAGTGTTGTAGTTGCACTCGCCCTCTCCTCACTTGGCTTGCACACTCACACACACTAAGACACTTAAGTTGGCAAGGAAAGAACACTTCTATTACTTCAAAGAATGCTTTGTACAAGGCTAACACTCAAGCTCTCTACAAGGCTCTCAAGACTCACTCCAGGACTTATTGGTTGCAAAATGAAGTCCTACTCCTATTTATAGGCATCCCCATCCCTAATGGATGGTTAGGATGCATTCTAACCAACGGTGGAGATTGATTCTCTAGAATCTTCTTCCACCTTCTACACATCTCCATACATATCTACAACATTGTAGAACTCTCCATACTACTCCACACAACTCTGGAGAACTCTAGAACCTTCCACACACTTCTATAATGTTCTACACATTTCTACATATATCTAAAATCTTCCACATAACTCTAGACTACTCCGGAAGATTCTAGAAACTCCCATGCCATGTAGTCGCCATGCAGCGTCCTCCTCAGCGTCTGCGTGTCGCCTACGTGGCACAACCTCCATAGGTGGGGCGTGACATTCTCCCCCACCCATTTCCGTGACGCCCTCGTCACGGTTTCTTCAGCTGACCCAGCCTCTTGCAGGTCATCAGCACTTGCGCATATGTCCTTGGCCCAAACGTACGAGCGCCCTTCGGGAGATGCGAAGTCCTCACGAGCTCCATCGTGTTTACTGCCACCTCTGGACTCTCCTTCCTGCCCACGAGCGGCACCATGCATGCGGCCTTGCCTTTCTCGCCTCCAAGTATCATTAACGCACCAAGGCATGGTAGTGGCACGACGTTGTTCCTGTCCATGAACTCCAGCCCCAGCACCATGTCGTGGTCGTCCATCTCCGCAACTTGGAAGTCAGCCTTGCCCTTCCATCCTTGCATGCATAGCTCTACCTCCTTGCACACTCTACTCACGCGTGCCTCCTCGGAGTTAACGGCCTTGATCCAGCCCTCCGTCTTGCGCATCTCCAAGCTAAGTCGTTGCGCCTCCTCAGGGGTAATGAAGTTGTGTGTAGCACCCGTATCTACCAACGCTTGCACGGCTTTGCCACCAACCTGCGCATCTACATAGCGCACCCCAGCTACCTTCTTTGCCTTGCCCTTCTTCTTGGTGTCATGCACCATGCTACTCAGCATCTGCATAACCCCCATGCACCTATCTTCATCGCTGCCTGCATCGTCCATCCTGCCCCCATCGTCCACCCTGCCCTTGCCCTTATCCTTCACAAGGGCGCTCATGGTCTTCTTGTTGGGGCAGTGTCGCAATATGTGCGGCCCTTCGCAATATGTGCGGCCCTTCGCTCAAGTAGCACTTCGGCTCCCACTTGCCCTTATCGCGGCGCTCCCCTTTGCCACTAGCCTTAGACCTCTCTCCATGGTCCTTGCCCTTATCATGGCGTGGGTGTCTCTCCTCATCGCTGTGCTCATCATCACTTGACTTGGGCGAGCCCCTTTTCTTGAAGCGACGGTCTCCCCCACCTTTGCCGTGGTCCCTTCTGGGAGACGTGGCCCTCTTGTCATCGCGCCTAAAGTCTTCAAGGCGCTCCGTTATAGCCATTGCGGATGCCAAATCTCTAGGCTCCCTCCTTCTCAGCTCTGTGGCTACCCAAGACTGCAACCCATCAATGAACAAACACACACGTTGCCGCTCCGGCATCTCTGGGATCTCCAGCATCAAGTTGGAGTACTCCTTCACATACTCCCTTATGCTACCCTTCTGCTTCAGGCGCCTTAGGTTGATCATGGCGAGGTCCTCAACGCACTCAGGGTAGAACTGCCTCTTGAGCTGCCTCTTAAACTCCTCCCATGTATCAACTGCTCTTGCGCCCCTACCGGTGAAGCGCTGCCTCCACCATAGAGCGGCAGTGTCCGTGAGGTACATAGTGCCTGTCTGCACCTTCTCCTCATCATCCTCGATCTCCATGTACTCGAAGTACCGCTCCATGTGCCAGAAGAAGTTGTCAATCTGGCGCGCATTCCTTGCCCCATCGTACTCCTTGGGCTCCGGCGCCTTCTTCTTCCTTGGCTTCACCACGACCTCGCGCGCCTGGGAGAACTCCTTCTTACACTCGGCAATCTCCATGTGCAAGTCGTCTACCTAATCATACAAGTCCCTTTCCTTCTCTCGCGCCTTGTTGGCAATGCCGTCAATCAGCTCGTAGAGTTCCGCCATCTTTCTCTCGAGCCTGTTAAACTTGGTCTCCGTGTAGACCAAGTGTGTGGCAAGCTTCTCCTCCAAGCTCTGCTCTAAGATGTGGACTTGGTGGTCTCCTCCGCTAGCCATGTCTACTCCAACAAAGCTCCCTTGACGAACCTGCTCTGATACCAACTATCACGGGCTTAGAGTTTCAGCACCACTCTAGCTGCTCCCGTGCGGCACCAAGATGTTGCTTCCACTCTCGCAAGTACTTGGTCAGCCTAATTCCCGTGCACACCTTAGCCAACACACTCCCCTCGTGCGCTTACTAGTGTTGTAGTTGCACTCGCCCTCTCCTCACTTGGCTTGCACACTCACACACACTAAGACACTTAAGTTGGCAAGGAAAGAACACTTCTATTACTTCAAAGAATGCTTTGTACAAGGCTAACACTCAAGCTCTCTACAAGGCTCTCAAGACTCACTCCAGGACTTATTGGTTGCAAAATGAAGTCCTACTCCTATTTATAGGCATCCCCATCCCTAATGGATGGCTAGGATGCATTCTAACCAACGGTGGAGATTGATTCTCTAGAATCTTCTTCCACCTTCTACACATCTCCATACATATCTACAACATTGTAGAACTCTCCATACTACTCCACACAACTCTGGAGAACTCTAGAACCTTCCACACAATTCTATAATGTTTTACACATTTCTACATATATCTAAAATCTTCCACATAACTCTAGACTACTCCGGAAGATTCTAGAAACTCCCATGCCATGTAGTCGCCATGCAGCGTCCTCCTCAGCGTCTGCGTGTCGCCTACGTGGCACAACCTCCATAGGTGGGGCGTGACAGTATGCTCAGTTCTAGAGTGCATCCTGAATGAAATATGGCACCTTTAAGGTTTAGTTTGGTACATTTTAAGGGAAACTATAGTCTATAAAGATTTCTTAAGGTAAGGAGTTGCAAGGCTCCAAGTTAAACTGTTTTTTTTTTTTTTTTTTTTTTTTTTGTTCTTCTCATGGTATTTGGGAGGAAAATTCTAGTGTATAAAATCTTTGGTCCCAAACAAAGCCTAATTCTCTCATATTTCTCTCTTATATTCTCGCTCATTCAACCACCACATACTCAGTCAGGCCAGAAAATGCGAAGCTACTGTGAAGGTTGAATTTAACTGTGAAGGTGGAAGTGAGTGGGAACGTGGCCCTGAGGGTTAAGATTGAGTGAAGGTTGTGCTTGTGAACTAGGCTCTAGCATTTCAGAATAGTCTCAATCTGTCACAATTGCTGGGGAGATTCTGATTATATTTTTCTCACTTGTACTTTTGACAATACAGTTTGGAATTCGTTTGCTTCTCTACTGAATTGGGACAGATACAAAACAGTGTTAAATTTTGCAAGTTATACATTAGCTATTACTGCAAGAATAACTAAAGAAAGTGGGAATAAAGATAATATTAACCATAAAATCACGTTAGGTAGATAAAATTTTTGATATGCATGGACTTTGTAAGATATGATAAGTTTTATATTTACTTATTGAACATATAAAAATGCAATAAAGTCTTTCTAATCTGAACAGAGAATGACTTCATACAGAAAACTCATACAAAGATTTCACAGAAAATTAAAGGAACTTATTAACAAGAAGCTCCAAGTATGGATGCAGTGCTTATTGCCCTAGGGTCAATGGGACTTGGAGAACACAATAGGAATCTCCTTAATATGCAATCTCTTTTAATTGAGCAGTCATTTTAAGACGATAGGTTAACCATTTAGCAGACTATGACAAGATTCCAAGATTTAGAACGCAGCAGAAAATTAAAAGAAAAAAAAAATGAAACAATTCAGATATAACTAAAGAAAAACATCCAATTGATGTGGATTATACCAACTGATAAATTTTTGAAGAATACCCCTTCATTTTCTCATAAGAAAAGTGTAAAACCCTTAAATTTTGTATATTATATTTTATTATTTAGTATTTAAATGTTATATTAGAGATATTAAGTTTTTTTAAAAATTTAAATTTCAAAAAGGAATCCTAAACTATCTCAACTACAGTTATAATTATTTTTTATAACTCACGTTGTATCAGTTCTACAGAGATATCATTTTGTAAAACAAAAAAAAAAAAAAAAAGAAGAAGAGAGAAGCATGAGATATAGAGAGTGATATTGACGTCTGTAGTAGCCAGGAGGAAAGACGGTGACCGAGAAATTGCCTAGAGAAGAAGGAGAAATTATATTTCAATAGTCGATTGTCTGGAAAGGATGGTGAAACGATATTTGAGGCAAGTTAATCTTGCATTGTACTCTTATATATATTTGTAACTTGCTAATGATTAATTTTGAAAAGCTAATTTGTATGTTTTATTAAACTGTGGAAAAATTATTCTGAATGATAATTATGATTAGATTATTATAGTTGTGTAAGATGTTGACTGAAATTTAATTGGACGCAATTAAAAGAATTTTTTTATTACTAAAGATTAGACAAAATTTAACTACACGAACCTTGATTATTAATTCAATTAAAGTTGATTGGCTATGTTTTGATTATGTTAATAGATTGATTTATAAGTTTTTTTTTATGTTGCGATTTACTGATCTCACTCAAAGAATCAGAATGATCATTAATATTTAGTTACTGTTGTCAGCTATTGGTCTGTTGTAATCTATGATGTTTGGTTGGAGGATTAGATC